TTAAAGATATTGGGGTTTAAATATTTGGTTTTGTTCCAAAGACTCAATTCCTTTGCCCTTTACTTCAAATTAATTTACAACTCTTTTTTTCCCAAACCCCATCTTGTTTCGGCTTTCTCTCTTTAAAAGTGATTTGAGTATTTTTGCTGTTAAGATAGAAAAACAACAATATCTTCCTCAATGAAGGAAAACCTAAGATTGAGCCTGAGTGTCTTTTCTATTCTATTCTATTCTAAATCCCCCCAACTTCCCAGCCCCTGTCCCTTCACTCTAACACCTAACCCCTTTCAAGACCATCCCCCTTCCCAGCCCCTGTCCCTTCACTCTAACACCTAACCCCTTTCAAGACCATCCCCCTTCCCAGCCCCTGTCCCTTCACTCTAACACCTAACCCCTTTAAAGACCACCCCCCTTCCCGGCCCCCTGTCCCTTCACTCTAACACCTTACTGTATTCAAACATTCTTTAAATATTCAGTCCATTTAAAGAGTTAAACATTTCCTGCAAAATCATTCTAATCCAATCACGGACACCATCAAAAATATCGACCCCACCAAAAAAAAAGATAATATTTTTTAATGGCAAATGTTGCTTTTTAAATTTTTACTGCTGTCAAAATGTTATTCTTGGACATTTTTTTTTCCTAGTTCACTTGATCAGTGATTTAAACCCGTGTTGTATACATTACATTATTTTCAAGTCATCTTCCTAATACTATTCAGGGATAAAATAATTAATAACATGTAAAAAAAGTTCTGGAAGATTTTTTTCCCGATCATTTTTTAAATTTTTTTTTTTTATTATTTTGTGAAGAATGTTTGTACTTAAATAATCGGCAAATCAGCCACCGGTCTTTAACATTCATGTACATTTTGTGTCTGTACATTTTTGCGTCCGTACATCAGGATGTTTTTGTACACTCAACAGAGTACACTAGCGTACATTCATTGTTAAGTAATTTATCGATATAGCCCCCGCGGCCCCCCCTTCCTTGAAAAATGTTTTACAAAATGTTACGTCTTAAATTATTTCTATCGATCATTATAAGCTGCAAGTGAGGGGAAGCATTAATCCCTCCAAACCACCGGACTCCCTTCGAACCACCGGACTCCCTTCAAACCACCGGATTCAATCCGAAACACCGGACTCCCTTCGAACCACCGGATTCACTCTGAACCACCGGACGATCCCTTCCAACCCCCGGATTCACTCCAAAACACTGGACTCCCTTCGAACCACCGGATTCAATCCGCACCACTAGATTCGCATAATTCAATGTCATAGTGACCATTTCCATAGTTTTTAATTACTTTTACTGTTCAGATATTCCAAATATATATTTTTATAAAGAAAATCAATAATTGATTTTGTAACTTTTGTGACACATTACAAAGTAAGTGCATCAAAGAAGCCGGTTTAGATTTTATTTACAAAGGAATACCAGGATAGAAAAACACTGCGATCCACAAATAATTGGCAAGACGTATAAAATGTAAAAGAATAAAAATACATAAAAATTACCCCCCCCCCCCCCCCTTAAAGGAAAGGGTTTAAAAATTTGGTATAGAGGGGGGGGGGGGTCTTTTAGATACACATTGTATCAGCAACATAAATTGTATTGTAAACGGAATGAAAAATGGGACCTTTTTGAGTTCCTGTCATGATAAAATTGATGGATGTTTGTTGTAAAATTATCAATTATTTTAATTTTATCAAGCCCAGATCTGGACATGATGGAATGCAAACCTTGTTATATTGAAGAATATATTAAAGGGACTGTAAACGTTATTTAAAGTGACCCTCCATTTATACAGAGCTGAAAACTTTAGAATACGTTTTCAGAATCGGGTTTTTTAAAATCACTAAATAACGACGACGAAAAATAAAGTAAAAATCATACAGTAACCTAATTAAATGGTTGGGAACATATTTATCAAAAGAAATTTTTCAATAAATAAATGCTAGAATCAATCATTTCGTTTTCAGCATTATATTGAATTCTTCAAATGTCGTCTTTTTAATAATAATTCAAGAAAATCTTCAGAAAATGTTTGTGAATATTGAATAATGAGAACTAGAATAATAAGAAAATAGAAACTAATAATTGAACAAGATTACTTATTTCGATGATAAGATTTTCTCAACCGATTCCGAAACAACTAATTAGTTTACTGTAAAGTTTTGTTTACATTTTTCGTCGTCGTTATTTAATAATTGAAAAAAAACTAATTCTGAAAACGTATCCATCCCCAAAGTAGAAGTTTTGAACGTCGAATTTGCGCTCAAACTCAGGATTTACAGAACTTTAAAAAGTTTAATATGTCTCAAATGAATCCGAAAGAAGTTTTCCACAACACTGCATACTCAGTTCAACTACCTTACATAGCCAGTCACTCCCTTTAATCCCGATTACTTAATCTGAGTATCCTGTATCCAATGGACACACTTTTGATTTTCTTTTTAAACCGTTCTTTCTTGGATATAGTAGAGAAAAATCAAAAACCGGTTTTAAAAAAAAGATAGTCCCTCCCGTTTCTGTATATAATCTTAAATGGCGCGTAGAATTTCAAATTTATCAGCTCATTTACGCGACTCTGATTGGTTGAATTTTATACACTTTTTAGGATACAAGTGCAAGATTAGGTTTTTCTCGATATTAAGAAAAAGAGAGGATCAAGCATTAATCTCGATATCCACCATTCTAAAGTTTTCAGCTCGGAGCTGAAAACTTTAGAATGGTGGATATCCTTAATCCAGATCGGTTAATTAATCCGGAGATTAATAACAAGAGAAGAACAAGAATTATTTAATCTGGAGATTAAGAAAAAGAGTGGATCAAGGATTAATCCCGATATCCACCATTCTAAAGTTTTCAGCTCAGATGGCATAAGATTCACAACAGTACTCTTTATAATCCTTTGTCTGAGAACAAATAATATCGAAAATATCTCCTCGTTTTCTTATCTTTTAAAATGTCTTCGGTTTAGCATATTCAATATTGTTTTGTATTGTTTCTATCCATAAATACAGCGGAACTCATACAACAGTGGGATTTGAAGGCGACATTTAAGGAGTCCTATATGTATTTGATGAGTAAAAGTAAAGTAAAAAAGTAAAAAATTATTTATTTATGAAGTATAACAAAGACATACAAAATAAAGTGTTTCAGGAGAAAATATTTAAAAACCTCTAAAAGTAGAGGTTGTGGGAATATTTCCCCCCAATTCTAAAAAAATATAAAAATAGAAAGAAAAGGAAAAGGAAAGAAAAGGATAAGGAAAGTTACATATTTATTGTTTACACCATATTTAAATTAGTGGTGGATTGTTAGTATTTTTCGACGATGAACTAACAACTTTTAGAAATAAAAACTATAGATTTATTTGTAATGTTAAAAAAAGTAAAAAAAAAGCTTTATGAAGTGTGAAAAAGATATAGGTTCTATGAAAAACGGGCATTTTAAAGCATCTTTTTAGTTCGCGCTGATTTTTGACATCCTTTATGTTGATTATATCTTTTACTCTTTTTAATCTTTTAATTCTTTTCTTTGTAAAATCGTCTTTGGTTTCTTCGATTCTTTTGCAAACATAGCATGTGTTAGAATTAAAACATTTGTTCTGCTGATAAAAATCTTCTATTAAATTCTGTTTAAAATTCGAAATAAGATTGATATTTGAAAGCTTAGAAAAGTTTCGTTTATTTTCATACCATATTTTAGGGAAATTGTGAGGTGGGAGCATTCCAATTTTAATAGATTTTATTCTAGGAATATAAAAATCGTTTCTGTTTCTAAGATTTGCGTTTTTGTTATTTTTTGATAATATAAAATCTGTTTTAAATGTTGGGGGTAATTGATCTCCTTTTAATTGAAATAAAAAATTTATGACATTAAAAATTCCTAGTTTTCTGAAGGGGAGTATGTTTAAAGCCCAAAAAGCTTCCGCTGTGTGACTTATTCTAGGTAAACCCATCAAAAGACGGATAGCTTTCTTTTGCAATGATTCTATTTTATCAATATTTTTTTTTAAAGTTAGCATTAGGAATGTTGAACTAAATTCTAAATGGGAGTGGAAAAAGGAGTAATAGAGCAATTTCATGGTTTCAAAGCTTAAGAAGTTTTTCATTTTTTTCATAGCATAAAGTGAAAAATTAATGCAATTAGTTATTATAGTGGTATAAGAATAAAGGTATTACTGGAAATTGGTTTATGTAACAGTACATTTATTGGACTGCAGAGTTACTCATAAAGACTGATACTGTCAGTAAAAAGGACAAAAATATCTTTAGATTTTACGATTTTTTAATTTAGTATTTTAATGGAATTTTCTAAATGATAAAGCCGAAGTCTGCAAGGAACCCTGAGTGCACGAAAAAAGACAAATTCCGCACAGTCCATGTAAAACTAATTAGATATGTTTAATATGCTTTGATATTTGTTGTGTATATGTCAGAAAATTACTTTAAACTCTAGTTATTCTAATTAATGTATAAACTATTTTGCATAAGATAAAATCGCACCCTGATCTCTAATAGTTCTCCTTAAATCTATTTAATTGAAATGTGTTGTTATCATTATTGAAATTAGGTGGAAAAAATAATCAAAACAGCCAAGAGCTATTTTCCACCTAATTGCTTTATACTTGTGCTGTTAATATAATCATCAATTTGTAATCGTAAACTCGTTCTGTACACAGATACATGTATTTTAGCAATAAACTTTATCTTGTCTTATCTTATCTTATCCAACATTTTTTCCTTTGATAAATTTGTTTCTCCTTGAAGCCCATTTAAACGAATGGCTTTATCAAAGAATTGCAAAACAAAGTTTTCCATGGAATTTTTAGGAATCATTGTTGAAAGTTTACAAGTGATTCTCTTTAAACCAACATCGAATAAGATTAAAAATATGATTCCTCTTTCACAAGAAATTAACAATACAAATGCATTACAAAATAAAGATTTATTTTAACAAAACGTATCACATCAAAACTAGTTTTATTATTCAATAAACATGCATTAAATCAACAATAATTAAAATAGAATTTATTTTCCGAAGCAAATGTGTCAAGAAGTTCTCGAATCTGGTATCTGATTTACAAATTAGAAATAATCATTCAGTGAATCTGGTAACAGCTATTAAACTGGTATTACTGGAAAAATGTTTCTGGTGCAAATGAAACCTCCAAAATGAAACCAAATCATTATAAAAGTTTTTTTAGTTTTTTCTGTAAATTACTTTTTCTCAAAAATAATCAATTCTTTCCTATCCTATACCAGATAAAGCAGCTCTTTGCTGAAACATGATTTAAAATGAGAATTTAACCCAAACCTAGTTCTAGAAGGGTTTGAGCTAAATCATTTTAAATGATGGTTCAACGAAGGTCTGCTTTAACTGGTATAGGATAGGAAAGTTTTGATTGTTTTTTTTAAATTTTACCATTGTCATTGTTTTTTTTAAAAAGGAAATTATTATTCGCCTCAAAATTTAAATCATAATCTTTGCAACCTGATGATGTCGACCCTTTTATTTTCCAGAAATTTTGAATTTTTAGGCGAGTGGTCAATTCCTTGATTCCTAAAAATCATACACTCCTCTGTTTATCCACAAGCTACAAAAGCTCCGGATGGAGTACAATTCACTAGAGATATACTAACAGTTGCTGTGTAGGTAGTTGATGTAGATGTAGATGTTGATAAACTTGTCACTGTAGTCGTCATGTAATACCAGGCAAACTTAGCTGCACGCTGATTCTCCGTCGTCGGAGTTTTGGCGGACTGAATATTAGTCGCGTCAACATCTCGCTCCGCCCGGGATATCTTAATAGGGGTCTCTAGGGCAATATCGGTCAAGGCGTTGTCATCGATCCAAGAATTAATTGCTCTCTTCTTCCTGCCCGGGCAAGCCATGTAATTAACTGAAGTCAAAATGTAGCATGATAACGTAGTGCTTAGGAGAGATGTGGTTGTAGAGATTGATGTAGAGGTACTAGAAGATACAAAGAAGAGTTTTGGATCCCTTTGACCTCCAGTTTCAAGTTCAGAGGCGTTGATAGTGGCAATTGCCGCTATCAGTAAAAAGGTTAGCTTCCACATTTCTAAAATACAGATATGGTAAACAATTTAACCCTCTGTAAAGATTTATCCCATCCTCAACTAAACTTTCGGTGTGTACTGCAGTGATTTTCAGTACTTTGTCCGAATAAATAGTGGGGATTAGTGGAGAGTGCCCCCTGCTTTCCTGGACATATACACCACGTCAAGCTAAAGTGAACTCAATAAAAAATATGAAATTATCTTTTTTTTCTTTAGCCAAGATTGATTTACAATTGAGGTTCTCTACTAAAGTAACTTACGGGTTTATGCAGCATACAAAGAAAAAAATTATCAGAATTTAGCGCATTTCCAAAAAAACGATTTCTTCCTAATTAGCTGCCCCGATGAAGGCTATATAACCTTTAGGGCCCTGGAACATAATTTTATAGAAAATCTAAAATTAATATTAAAAGAAAACCAAATTATGAAATAGGCTGGTTTCATAATTGACCAATGATCATTTTCCATAGGCTCTATGTCTTTCACTTTACAAACGATGATTTTCCGTTATAACTATAAATCAAATGATGTTTTTTATTCACCTAATTCATTTTATAAAGTTTATTTAACAGATTTAAAAAATTCGAAATTGAAATGGATAGTCTAGGTAACATACTGTATTAATGTACTCTACTGCATATAATTTGTGAACATTTACATGATTTGTACACTTTCAGACTGAAATTCATACCGAGGGATTGTCTAAATTCCACTCTAATATATATTCTATTCTCTTTTGATCTAACAGAATTTAAAGTTTGAAATATGTAAGGTCTGCGACTTTGAGTTGCAGAGATATGGAGATTAGAAAATTTAGAGTTTAGTTTTATTTTATCTTTTTCAATGGAAACTCTTACTTTGTCTGTTGCTGGTTGAGCAAGGAATGACGGAAACTAATGAATTTAGTAAATATTTATAAACTTATTCTTGTGTTTCTAACCATGCATGATCTTCAACCACTTTCCACCATGATGAAGCACAATTATGCATCCTTTAAAGATGCAACAAATTTTAATAATTTTATAAAATTTTCTTCAGCGTATTTTTTGTTTCACTTGCGCTTTATAATTTTTAAAAAGTGTTCTTTTTTTAAACCCAACAAACCCCCCTTTTTTATCCCTTTTTTGGTCTACATGCGCAAGGATGAAAAATGAAATTTGGACATTAACCATGTACGGGTAATTAATTTTAACCACTTTCAATTTAGACAAATCCACCAAACATTTGTGAAGAAATAAATGAAATACTGTCAAGCTGACATTGAAGATATAAGGTTCTATTTAGATAAAGAATAGATGGATGAGAGATAGATAGATAGATAGATACAGATATATGGATAGATAAATCGAAAGACAAATAGACGATAGACGTATATATATATAAAGTTGAAATCTCTGTTTGGCTGTTTGTATGTCCGATCACAACTCATGAACCCCTTGACCGAATTCCCTCAAATTTTGATTAGGGAACTCGGCAAAAATAGTTAACATTATAATTTACGACCAAGCGCGGGTAAAAGGCAAGAGTACCCTGGCGGGATGGGCCACGCTCGGTAATCAAGCCTAGTATATATAAATAAAAATGCATTCCCACTACCCAGACATAGAATTGGAGAATTGAGAAATTAAAGAATTGAAGAATTGAAGAATTGAAGAATTGAAGAATTGAAGAATTAAATAAACGAATAATTGAAGAATTGAAGAATTGAACTAACAACGTCTCTCCGTGTTAGATGGTTTTTATATCTTTGCATCAATCTTAATCAAAACATCTGTCAATCTTGTTGTTCATCTCTTAGTATAATTATGCATGCAACATTTATCTTTCTATCTATCTATCTTTCTATTTATATTTATATATTTATAACTATAAAGCAAAATTCTGGGAAGCTTTTCAGTTTTAACTATCTATATAATAAAACATGACATTCATAAATATATGTTGCGTATAGCCGGCCAAACGACTGGACCGATTGGGCCGGAATTTTATGTTACAGGCTTAAAAAATCGATTTTTTTGGTTTAAATTTTTATTTTAAAAAAAGATTTTCTACTGGCCACATCAGGCTCTTCAGCTAGTATGTAATTTATATATATCTATATATTCATCTGATGAACAGTATTATTCTTGAATAAATTAATCAACACTCGGATTTATAGCTTTATACATACATTCATATATCTCCTTTATTTCACAATTCTTCACTTATTTTGCCTCCAGTTTGCTATTTTATTTTTATTTGAAGGTTTCGTCAACGTATTTCCTCTAATCAAAGAGTTCCATAACAGATTCACAATATTACACTTTAACCCATGGTCTAAGCATTGATTTAAGAGATATTCTTCATTCATGTGCTTCACAAAGATAGATTTAGGCGGCATCGTGGACTTTAATGAGTTGGCCTGTGATTTAACCTCTAACTTTTTATACTTTTGATAGTCCTCGGAGCTGGGGAAGGCAGGCGGCTATGAGCCACCACTATTTCCCCTTCCGTACCACCACATTTGACTCTTCCGGGCAAAACTACTTTTTAAATGGTATATTAAGGGCCTTTAAAGTGTGATTTTAAAAAATCCAGCCACGTCACGCAAAAAAGCACAACTCAAACCATTTTTTCAATTCTACTTAAGATTAATATTTTGTGTGTTGAATTCTTAAACTTTTTTACAATGAAATTGTTGACAAATTTGACTGAGTATTGCATCTTGAAATATCACAAAGTCTAATGATTATTCAATTACTGGCTCATTATACTAAATCCATCTTAAAATCACTTATTAACCAATAATCATTAGACTTTGTGATATTTCAAGATGCAATACTCGTCAATTTGTCAAAAATATCATTGTAAAACAGTTTAAGAATTCAACACACAAAATATTAATCTTAGTAGAATTGAAAAAATGGTTTGAGTTGTGCTTTTTTGCGTGACGCGGCTGGATTTTTTTAAAATCATTCTTTAAAGGCCCTAAATATACCATTTAAAAAAGTAGTTTTGCCCGGAAGAGTCAAATGTGGTGGTACGGAAGGGGAAATAGTGGTGGCTCATGGCCACCTGCCTTCCCATGCTCGTCCTAGACTGCAAAAGCATGATTATTCTTAGCTTTAGTTTCAGTAAAGTATTTGGCAAAATTCTCTAAATTTCTTTGTGAGAGCTCGTAACCTTTAGATCAATGTAAATACCCCCCCCCCCTAACATCTCCACAATTCTATTCTAATTCCTAATAAATAATTCTATTCTAAGTAAAAAAGAAAATCCATTATATTTGTTTTTATATTTTATATTTGCAAGAAACACCCATTTTCAATCCAAATCCATTAGAGGCGACATTCAGCACACATGGGACAATACAAGGGGGGGGGGCCGGGGGGGG